CAAGCTTGTTATTCAGCAATTATTCATAAGTTATATTAGGCATGAAAGAAGTTGCATTTTGGAAATTGGTTTTTAAGCAACATGAGAAAATAGTGGCATGTGACAATATTTGCTAGTTCTCAGACTTGTGGCATGATTTTGATCTGTTGAATTTCAGGAAAGAAGAAAAAGAAGAGAATGCACTTACCTCCTAATGGTAAGGATTTGGTTACTTTATTGTTTGAGATTGTCTTTAACTTCTACTATTATTCAGTTTTAGTGGTTGAGACTTTTTAGCTTAACTTCATTCATTTTTTTTTTTTCATTTTCCCCAGGCAAAATTTACCTTTTCCCATCTAACATTAATGATAAATTCTATTGACTTCTTGGATGCAGTTGCAGAGATTCAGTGGAGAACTAACCAGGACCTTGCAGCTGAGAATTACATGATGTCTATGGGGCCTTGTGCTTATAATCCATATTGGACTGGCATCCAACCTGGAATGGAGGCATTTGTACCCCCTTATGGTGGTACCATGCCCTATATGGGTGGGTTTAGTCATATGGATCTTGCATTGGGAGGTGTCTTACCTCCTGACTCATTTGCGGGACCGGGTTTTATGTTGCCTTATGGCCCACCTCAGAGGTATAATTCAGTTTACCTTCTATTAGTCTCTCTCTCTCTTTCATATTTCATATTACTTTTCTTTGTGCATCTCTTTTAAGGGTGAACTTTGTATATCTGACATGGAATATGGTGGTTTAGCTACTTTGCTTTGAGTTGGTCGTGGGGGTTCACTGCTATACAATATGCGTGTGATACTCATTAACATTTTCCCCCCGATAAGAATAATGTATAACTGTTTCGTCTACTTTTAACAATATCAGGGACCTTGCGGACTTAGCAATGGGATTTAACGCTGGGCCTGGGCCAAGGAAAATGAGCAGAGAGGATTTTGAAGCTCGTAATGCTTTTAAAAGGAAGCGTGAAATGGAGAGGAATGGTATTAGGTAATGAGGACCAACTTTGCATTCTGTTTTCTATTTAATGTCGTAATTTTAGATATTTTCAAAGACATATTGCATTTATTTTCTATTTCAACATCAAAGGTATAGTTTTTGTATTGTTGAGCTTAAACTTAATGATACGGACCTGAAAAATATGATTGCTCGACTAGCAGTTTCAACTCTTTGATAGGTTCTCTTGCAAGGTTATTAGGTACACATCAAGCTTTTGGAACATGTCTCTAAGCAATTGTTGTGCTCCACTTGATTTGTGTTGAAAATTTTTGGCCTTTAAGACTTGTTTGGGAAATTTTTTTAAAAAATCAATTTTCCTCATGTCATTTTCCACCACATTCTATGGGACCCATGACTTTTTCCTACTTTTTTAACTACAAAGACTCCAAAAAAAATAAGAAAAAAAAAAAATCATTTTTTCACTTGGAAAAATCTCTCCAAAACAAGTACTTACTGTTTTTTCCTTCTGTCTTTTGAGTATTTAGAACCATTTTCATGCATGCATCAATGTTTGTTCATACTGGATTTGAATTTTATAACCTACTTAAGTTAATAATGATTAGTGCATTATGTTATCACTTATTTGTACCTTTAAGCTCTTTTAATTCAATTACTCGGATTCTTTATTTTTCAGGGAGTTACCCAAGGATCAGGAATATGGTAGAGAAATGAGCAGCACTGGCAACATTTCTTCTATGAAAACCAAATCTGTATGCAGTTTTGTTATCCAACTTCTATATGTTACATATGTGCACTAATGCAGGAAGAGTTCATTAAGGAGAGTACAAATTTTGTTTCTGTCAGCCGCTGTTGGAATCATCCAATTAG